GGGAACAAACCTTTTGAGTGTTTTATTTGTATGATGACTGTGGGAAAATATATATTTAAATCACACTTGTGCACTACACAAACCCAAGCACCCTGGGGGATTTGGCTGACCCAAATATGGGAAACTGCAGTGGGCACCAGTCTCTCTTATTACCAAGGCATGCACTACAACTGCCTGAGCAGAGGTTTCCCCTTGGCTTCCTCTATGCAGTGAGGGAAGACCTTCAGTGTGGGAATGTGTCTGGCAGTGCTGTGGGAATATGTTTGGCTGTTGGTCTCTGACCTCCTGCCAGTGTGTTCCAGAAGATGACCTCGCTGGTGGGACAGGGAAGGTAGAACCAGTGTGCTGGCCTCTGGAAAGAGGTGGGGGATGTCAGCTTGGCAAGATCCATGTAACAGGAGAGGCTGGGATGCAGTGAGAGTGAATATGTAGTTGTGCAGGGCAGTGAGTAGTAGGGGGAAAATATTTCAGTAACTTGTTCCACACTCGTGCAAGGAGGTGATCACTTCTCAGTCAGCTAGTCCTGACCAGATAAATGACTTGGAGTGCAGCTTATCTCCAGGAATTTTGGAAGCTGATGGAGAGTTTTGGTTAAACAAAGCACTAAATGTAACAGTAGAACTCAGCAGATAGAGTAGTTTTGGTAAGCTGGGTGCTCTAGACACTTGTGATTGTTACTGTTAAAAGGACCAAGGTTATTTAAACAGACATTTTCAGATTCTTCTGTGATGGTCTGTTTTCTGAGTGGAAGAAAGTACTGGTTTCAGTGACTGAGTGAAACCTATTCTTACATTTTGGAAGGAGTTAAAATGTTTTTCTTGTTGCTTTTAAGTGGCCATGTCTACTTTAAAGTGATAATCCAAACTGGATCTGACATTTGAGTGTGTAGGTGCTGACGTGGGTATACTGCAGTGAGCAGAGCTAACCTGGGGAAAATGCAGGCTAGAAAATATGAAGTGATGCACTTCACAAAGTAATCCATGCTGCAGAAGCCTGCCCTACTCATGCAGGTAATTGTGCTGCCTTTCTGTTTCTGCAGCACGTTGTGCTCTGTGCTGCACCTCTGCATATTTCCTTGCCTCCCAATGGTCTTGGTCAGACTGTGCCAAATGCAACACAGGCCAGAAGCCCAGGTCTTTTATGTGAGCCTGCCCTCTCCAGTTCTAGCTCAGGTTGTCTTGGAGCTCATAAGAATGGGCCAGTGATGCTTACAGCTTCTTCTTGGGCAATACTGCTGACACAGTTGCCATTGTGATAGAAACTGATTTCCAAGTAGGGGAGTTTATTGAGTCCTTTCAAAGAGGTGCTTCAAGTCACTCAATTGTTTACTCAATAGATACTGCTGCTATTACATATCCATTGCATCCCTGTCTCTGAAGAGAATTTAGCAGTGGATTTCTTCATGGTCTTCCTCTGGCCAACTCCTTTCCTGGCCTTGCTGACCCACTTGTAAGTCCCCAAGGGTCTCTGCTCTGTGATACTTAGAGTTCACTAGAGCATCCTTTCATGCTTGTTGTGTAATGAAGCCACAGCTGTTTCCTGGCCTCTGGGACCCTGTGTCCCTGCAGATGGAATGGCAGTATTTGCCTCACTGGATGTTTTTCAATATTTTCTTATGTTAGGAAAAATTTTTAACAGATTATGAGCTGTCCCCAAACAGCACATTGTCAGGAATGTCAATGCAATTGAATGTAAATGATAGCCATGAGGACAGCCCTTCCACCTCTGGGTTGTCTGTTGTAACAAGCTATGCAGTGAAGTTATAAGTGGGAGTCCTTATTTTGTGCTGTATCTTGCCAGTGTTCACACAGGCACTGTTGTCATAGACACTCCTGAAGAAATGAGGTGTGTTTGTCAGCTACATAAAGCCCAGATCAAAGAAAGGTCAAGATTCATGAAGTCGGAATGAGCTAGAAGGGAGAGACACTTATGAAACGATGGGCTCATCAAATCTCTGATTTGTACTTTGGTTTGATGGTTGTGCAAAATTTTTCCTTTCAAGTTTATGGGTACATAAACATCTCTCAGCTTGCTTGTAGCTCACTACTAAACCCAGCCTGGACTCTAATGAAACATTGTACCTCTCCATGCTAGAGAGGCTCACCCAGTGTTAACTAATAGGGGTGCATAAAATACAACAACCCAGTCATACTGACTTACAAATCACATGGTGAGGATGTTGACATCTATTTGTTGTGGTTCCTTGATGATTAGAACAGTCATTCAAGAGCTGAAATAATGGCTGAGTGTTCACTGCTCTAAGGTAGCCTACATCTTCTAGGAGAACATCCAAACTGCTGTTGGGGTGAGAAGTGTGTGCATGTTCTCTATGCATCCTTTGGAAACCTCCAGTCCAAAAGAATCAGGCTTTGCTGGGCCAAAGCAAAAGTGGGAATGTGATTCTTCAGCTCCTGCAATAATGGCAAGGAGTCTAGTATTACATGTGAGAACTGGGCTTATGTTAAAATATTAGATATTGAAACAAACATAGGAAAGGGGGAAAAAGCCAACCTTAAAATATCCCCCTTTTTCATTGTTTTCTGTGGTTTAACTTGGTCAGATTTCTGTTTGCTGTGCTAAGTTTTTCAGTTCTCTTCAACATTGCTCACACAGCTTCCAGCTCCCAAGTCTTTGGGAGTTGGGCATCTAGGGACTAGAGTATTGCAGTCTCACTTTCTGGAGTTTAAATTCCCTTATGGATTTAGGGCTTTGTTTTCACCTGTAAATAGGAGTTGAGCATTGTTGCAACTCACAGAAGCCTTGCAAGGCTTGATAAAAGTAGGATTATCGCAGTGATGGCTATCAGAAATGTGTCCTATATAGCCTTTAGTGAAAAAACCCAAGAGATTATTTATCTGAAGATAATAAGGTTTAAGCGTGAAAGGCAGACAAATTCTTAACAGGAACTCTTTAGGAAATGCAGAGAAGGGAAAGTTACCTTTTGGGAAGGGAAGGCAGTGAGAAGCAATTCTTAAGCAATTCATGCATGAAATAACGCCATTCAGATCAGACCTGGCCCAACATTTGTATTTTCATTTTTTGTATTTTTGGTCATTTTTTGTACTTCCTGATGAAATTTAAAAATATCTTAATACAGTCTAATGTGGTGTTTATAATAGACTCTCAAAGGCACTTGCTTTAGCAGTGAGAAATTGCTTGGTTTGCTTATTTGTAGGAAGGGGTAAAAGTGGTGTATTGTTTTGGGGAGAAAGTGCTTCAGCTAAGAAAGCCCCATGGTGTTTAAAAGAGGCTGTGAGAAACAAAACAGCTAAAATATCCTGAAGTTATGTTACTAGTATGTATCACTCTGATGAGTGTATTAAAAAAATCATGCTTGTGGAATTGGGCAATGGATTTAGCTAGCTACAGGACTGCTTCATTTGAACCCACTTGAAGTTTGGGTGAAGGATTTTTTAAAGGGGAAATTGAAACAAACTAAACTCTCTGCAATTAATAGGTAAAATGTCATTTGGTTGGAGGAAGTGTTAATGAGATCTGTGGATGTGTGAGCAGCTGGGAGTTGGTACTGAAAGGTGGACAGTGTGGTGGACTCCCATAAGGGCTCTCCTTAAAAAGGAGTGCCTCTTGATTTCCCAGCCCTTCTTTAAAAGCCAGAGGGTCTTTGCAGCTGTGACAGGAGCCACCATCTCCTGCTGCCTGCCAGTGACCCGGGAGCAGCACTGCTGTCTGTCTTGGCACAGGTGGAGGTTTGAGTTGGCAGTCATAAAAAATGTGGCACACACAGCTCCAGCAAGAATGGAGGCGTGAATCCTGCTTAGTGCTTTTTTTTGTACTCTTTGAAACTCCTCCTGGCTTGTATTGCAAACAAGGAGTTCTTTCTACTGGGGCGATTTCTACCCTGAGTTCTTGGTGTCCTGTTTGCAGTGCTGTATTTGAGGTACAGGTATTTGAGCTTGTGTGGCCAGCAGTGAAGGCAGTGCTGAGAGGAGCCCCTGTGTCTGGTCTGCATTCAGGAAGGAGAAATAGTGCTCACGTTTTGGTTTGGCCACCTGTGAGAGGCTTCACATTCAAACTGAGTGTCATGGTGGATCAGTGCTTGTGGCACAGAGGGAAACATTTGGTTTCTGTCCTCAGTCAAGAGATGAACTTTACCTGCTTAACCATCATGTGTTTTATTTATGCTCTGTCCGAGTAATTAACACTTTTTTAAGAATAAAAATTTAGTTAAAATTGAAACCAGGAACAATCCTGTTGACTGCAATGGGAATGATATCTGGGAAAACTATGTGGGGACTGAAGCAATTGGGATTGGGTTCTGAAATGAATATTTCCTCTAATGCAGCCATACCTTTGACTAATGTCTAACTGATGTGTTTTTTTCAAACAGATACTAATTTTGTCTTGGGTAATGCCCAGATCGTGGATTGGCCCATTGTCTACAGCAATGATGGATTTTGCAAGTTATCAGGATATCACAGAGCAGAAGTTATGCAAAAAAGCAGCACCTGCAGGTATTTGAGAACAGATTTATTTTCTGTTAAATAGCTTGTAGTGTTGTGCCTGTTGCTTGAGGAGAAAAGTAATCTGTTTATTCCAGTTTTATCTTCTGTCTCCTGGGGCTGCATCTGTCAAATATGCTTTCCAGGTGAAACAAAATCAAAGAAGAGCCATTTCTAAATGGGTCCTTTTTTACATGGTAAACAAATGGCTTTGGGTCTTTGTCGGGTACCTGACTTGAATTTCTCTGTTTATTGCAGTTTTATGTATGGGGAGCTGACAGACAAAGATACAATTGACAAGGTCCGGCAAACATTCGAGAACTATGAGATGAACTCCTTTGAAATCTTGATGTACAAGAAGAACAGTAAGTAGTCAATTGGTTTGTTCATTAATGTAGGTGCATAAAGTTGTTCTTAATTGTAGTGTAAATTGCACTTCTGCCCCCCTGGAGGACAGTGCTTTATCTAGGGCTAAATAAGCCCCAGTTCTGCCACTTGGTCTAAAAGGGAGAAATGAGAACATTAGAGATGAAAGTCACTCAGGGAGGCAGAGGAAGCTTTCTAATTTGTTCTGACGTTTAGAGTAATTTGTGTGTGATGCTTTAAGACAACACTGAAGATTCCATCAACAGTGGTAGTACACAAGCTAGGTTTAGTCAAGTTTCCACTACAGAGAACATACTTTCTCAGTTTTTAAAAACTTGATATAGCAAAGCCGGTATATAGTAGTTTTGGAATAAAAAGAACCCATCTTTTGTTTTAGAAACTGAACTACTTCTGATGTTTTCAGATGAAATGTCTTTTGTTTTGGACAAAAAATCCTTAATTGGCACATGATTTTTTTTCCCTAGGAAATTCAGTCTGTCTGTAACTGCACGTTTCAGCAGATGAACTACTTGCCCCAAATTTGGTGTCTCACCTAGTGTGGACTATGTCATGCACAGTTATTTTCATCTACTTCATGTCACCTAAAGTGTGAATACACTGAGGTCTTCAGCCTGGCCAGATGTTAAGTTGAAAAAAACTGCATTCTGTAACTTATTTTGCTCTTAACAATTTTGCCTTCTAATAATGAAGCTGGTACTGCCTGTATGCACAGTCTGTGTGGCCTTGCTTTGTGCTGCTTTCCTCCTAGGGCTACCTGCCTCTGATGTTTACCTATTTTCTAAAAGCTGATTTCTGTTCCTAGCTCAGTTTGTGGCCATGGGGACCATATGCAGCTCACATCTATGCATCCAAAGCCAAGTAAATAAGCTGCAGTCCTGGGATCTAGGAGAGTCTGGAATTCTCTCTGAGTTATCAGTGATTTGGCACCAAGAGACTATGCAGCTTCTCTTCTGTCGTGCTGCAGCATATGGCCTGTAGTAGAGCCTGGGGCTTCTCTGCCTTTTATGCAGATTTAAAGCAAGGTAACCGTGGAGGGAGGAATATTTCCTGCCCTGCAGTGCACTCCTCCGAGGAGAGGTGGCCCAGAAGAAGGTCCAGCTGTGCAGTAGCTGTGTTGTGAGACATGCCAAAAGACAGAGATGCGATGGCTCTGCTCCGTACCAGAGGGTCACAGGCATGGGAAAGAGGAAAGCACAGAGCTTGCTGTCAAGTTTAACAAACCCCAGGGCGCCTAATGTTTGTTAGATTTGCAGCTTGAGAGATACATTAACTACTGTTACAGAGACTGGCTAATAACTCTAGAGAGTTTTAACTGAAAAATATCAAAAAGAGGACATCCTAGAACTTTTTCTCAATATAATCCACATCACAGAAAAACACTGTCTTATTTACCAGTCACTTAGCACCCAGACTGCTAAGTGGCCTTTCCTTTGTGGTCACCTTACCCCTGTCTGCAACTATGGCAATGAATATGATTGGTTCTAACCTGCCTTCAGTTTGAAAGCTTGGGAAATGACCCCGAATTTTGCTAGACATTTTTTTTCCTGCTCTTTGTTTCTTCTGTTTCTCTCTCTGTTCTGGTCTCTTCTCTTCTGGTCTCTCTCTGTTCATTCTATTTTCCTTTTATTTTCCTTTTTCAAATTAGCCAGTGAAATAGATTTTTCTTACTCTTTACCTGTCTACTCCCTTCTTACAAACTAATAGTCACAATAAATAGCAAGGTTTTTTTCCCATTTTTGAGTTATTGGATAATTGGTATGGTTTCTGCAGCTTGCACATATAATGTTATTCTGGCTGTTTTAACAGTACAGTTTCTATCCTTTTGGAGGAACAAAGGAAAACAAAATAGGAGTTTTGAGTTAATAGTGATGTCTGTAGTGCAAGTCAGTCTTGTACTTTTAGGAGCAGCAGCCATTTATTTCTTTATCTGAGTAACAATTATTCCCTGGTCTTACATGTCAAAGCACATTTAATGATGCTACTAGAAGTGATAGGCTGTTAAGTTTTTTATTTTTGACATGACACTCCATTGTGGTGACCCAGTGCTGGTATTTACTTGGTTGTCTGATAAGAATACCCCATCCAGCAGGTGATAGGTACAGTATATCCACAAATTTCATTGCAGTTCAGTATTAACTCTAGAAAAAAACACACAGTTTCCTGCCTTCATCATGTTTGCATTTATGGATGCTGCCTCTACCCTGGCCTTCCCTTTCTCTGTCCCATTCACCCTGCATCCAAAAGTGACTGTACTCCCTGTTTTCAGAACTTGAAGTTAAGATGTGACAGAGTTTTGATGATTCCTTAGCCTAGGCCCTTGATAAGTTAGCAGATATGTAAAAATCATTGTTATTCTCTGGAAGAATTTCTTCCCAGAAACACAGAGCTTCTTCAGGATAATTGGAAGCAATTAGAGCAAACAGGTGCATAGCCACCAGATTTTTGTCATTGTTGTTTTGATGTCATCCAATTGCATTCAGTGGGGATTCATTGTCATACCTGGAAGGAAACAAAGTAAAAGCTTTCTTTAATCAGGACTGCAGAATGACAACAGACAGACTGACAGTAATTTCACATGAGAGCTCCAGTTCCATTGTTTAATTAAACGTGGGAGCCCAGTGGTGCTGGAAGTATTGTTTATTTTTATATTGGAAAATTAAAACTTTATTAAATCTGAAGTCAATGGAGGTAAATGAACTTATACCAAGGAAGACTACAGCTAATGTATTAGAAAATAATTTGTATCTAGCCTTAATCATATCTTACCTTACCTGAACTGATGTGTTTTAAACATCTAACTTCTTAGGAGATTTTGACAGACATTTGCTAAGTTTTTACACTTTATGGTCAGTGTCATGAGTTAAAAATGGCTGAATAAATTAAGCTTGGATTTTCTTTGTCTTGTTTTTCTTCTATAATGTAGGCCTGGCATACAAGCAGTGCCAAAGCAGGCTTGTTCTATATGCACTTGCTTTCATTATTGATGAAGTAAATTTTTATAAGAATACAAAATTCACTTGTTTCTATCTGCCCCTGAAGAGGTGGTGTCCAATTTAAATCTAACCCCCTTTTCTTTGCAGTACTTGACCTACTTCAGTGGAAGAATATTTGAAGTGGGGTGAACTTGTCATAGGTGAAGTGCATCAAGACTTAGAAACTGAGTCTTCAAGTGTCTCCTGTCTGAGCAGAGGCATTCCCATTGCTTATGGTCTGCAGCTGTGCTGCAGAGAGAGTGTTAAGACACCTTTTTTTTGTCTCAGAAGTTCTCTACAGATAGGACCAGCAGAATGCTTGCTAAAATGCTAGGTTGGCTGTAGGTAACTATTTAGCACACTGCAAAGCAGTTTGGTAAAGCAGTAGCTCTTTGCTGAGTAAACATGTTATGGTGAGAGTCCCAGAGGCTGGGATGCACTTTCAATTTGTGCTGGGGTTCACTTCCTTGTTTTCTGGGTGCTTGAACATTTAATACATTTAATAGCATGAATGTCTGTGTGTGTGGTTTTTTTATTTGACTGTTTGATTTTTAAAATTTTCATTTTAACATGTGCACAATCTTCTCCCCTCCTTCCTTCTCCCTTCTTCCCCCAGTGTATTAGAAAGCCTTCAAATGTCAGAGAATGACAAATCAGTCATTCACTAAAATAGTGATTTGGTAGATTCTACTTGCATTTCTTTTTGGGACCAGTGCTTTCTATAGAGGTTCAAAAGCAACAGCCTCAATTTATAGGCAGCAAAATTCACTTCAGCATGGTAGACCTATGACTGCCCACCACTAAAGAGCTTCTCATAACTGATACTGATTCAAACCATCTAAACCCATTTATATTTGTGTGTGCTGTGCCTGTAGTGTTTCCAGATGGAAACCTTTGCTAACCCATACTGTTGCACAGGAACAGAAGCAGGAAAGAATGAGGGTGTTGGAGTCAAGTGACGTGTAGCCTCCTCGACCTCTCACTGAAGTGTAGCTCCATTATTTGTCAAGCAGTATGCACACCTGCATCTCCTGTGAAATCCATCTGTGTGAGTTCAGTTACCTTCAGCAAGGTCAAATTAAATATTTTGGACTCATAAAACTGGTAATTCCCATTGATCTTGTCAACTTCAAATGTGTTGGAAAGCAAGATCTGCTGTCATCTTCACAAATATGTACAGAATTCCCAGTAGTAATCCTTAAGTATTTTTCCTGGGGTAAATGGAAAGATCTCAAACTTTACTCTGTCTTCCTTATACTCAGGTTCTGTTCTTCAGAGAACTCAGAATCTGGTGAACCATGCCAGCACTACTGCAGTACATGAGTGTGTGCTGAACCTTGTTTTCTACTGTGTTGTTTCAGTGTCATAGGATAACTCTTGCTAATAGCAATTCCACCTTCGGGGACTAAAATTGATTTTTCTTAAATTAGCATGTAAAGATGTGACCTTTAGAAGTATTAGTTGCCACAGCATCCAAGCACCAGATAGAGAAGACTTGAAGGTAACAGCTTTAAAGGGGCTGGGAATGTATTTAAAGGTTTATTCTTGTTGGCACAGAGGGGTGAGCTGCATGCTGAGTTGGTCTGTTCTCCTTTGGTACACACTCTCTGCCCAAAGCTAGAGTCTATAGTAAGACTTTTGTTCTTTGTCTTGCATGGTCAAATCTCATGGGCTTCTCTGAACACCTGGTTAAAATCTGTGTGGGTATATTGACTTGCCAAAACTCTCTCTGATCACACCTCATCAGCTGGTTTGCTAGTTTGATGTTGTACAAACTGTTCAGTCTGTGTGGGATAGAGAGAAGCAATCCCATACTGAGTACCTGGGCATTAGTGAAACCCTAAAAGGAGTGGCTGTAATGGTCAGCCACGCTGTTTTTATAACTTACCTCCTGCTGTCTGCATTGCTGCCTGCAGGAATTGGTGGAGAAAGGGCACATGTTTCTATTTCCACACTGCTCAACTGTTTCCCTTCAGGACAATATGTGTCTGACTGTTTGACTGAGACATTATCAAGTAATGCAGAGGTTGTGCTGCTTAGAGGAAACTTGCCCCATTCATTAATGGCAGTGTAGATGTCAGCTGAATTGTCAAAACACCTTTTTTTTCCATTGTATTTTAAAATTAATTTTTGTTTAATTAGTGGAAAGAAAAACCATGTTTAAAATTCCATTTTTATTTAAACTGTGATTTTTGTAGTTCTGAAAAACAATTTGCCTCTTTGGTTGAATGGTTCAAGGTATGGGCAAAGAGCAACATTTAAACAGTGGTTTTGATTTTCATATAGCCTATTTTTGTTTGGCAGGAGGGAAAACTTAGGATGGTATGCTCAGGGAGAAGCTGGAATAGACCTTTAAGATCTCTTTAATTTTGATGATGTAAGAATTTCTGAAAGACATCAACCAAAGTTAAATAGCATGTGAAATGCTGGTGCTCCTGCCCAGCAAGAGGCTGAACACATTGATGAAAGACACAGGACTGGAAAAAAGGATAGAGAAGACATAATACTATTTGTCTTTCAGATGGGAAATTGAAAAGTATGCAGACTTTCAGAGTGTGTTAGTCTGGAGAAGACTTGGGACTTGAATCACAGCCCTTAAAATAGTCTTTGCTTTAAGGCAACACCATAAGGACTGTGCTTAGGCCATAAAAGCCTATCAAGAGATACACCTGTTAATTCTGGATTTGCTAAGTAACTTTGGTACCATGAGTCAGGCTGGTCCTATGACTACTGTTGGGTATTCATTGTAGATTTTCATTTCCTCTCAGTTGTCTGCACTGCTCTGCCTGTCCTGCAGCTCTGAAGGGGCATTGTCTTTTCTAGCATGATTGGTGCTATGCCACTAGACAAAAGCTGGATTCTTTCACTGCTGATTCCAGATCTAACAGAAGCCAATGCAGCTCATGGGTGTTTACTTTTTTGTTTGTGCACTGGTATTATCACTGAACTTTACCAGGGAGAGAGGTTGCCAGGACTAAAAACAAAATGTAAATGGAAGTAGATGTATTGTTGGAAACACTGGTAAACACTTTCTGTGTGGCTGTACATCAGTGCATACTGGGAAGTTACTCTTGCTTTGCTGTGAGAACTCTGGAACATGCTGCAGTTTCACTGCCTGAATAACCCACAGGCTGAATCTAAAAATCACATTTTTCATTAGAATGGCCTTTTTTGTGCCTCTTGCTAGTAATGGTTGTCTGGCTGAGCAGGAATGTTGGATTTGACACCAAGAGCATGAGGGCTGCCCGTAAGACGTTGAAATTCTAGTTTCCGACCTGATTTATAAGTAGTTTATACTTTAGGCTTTCCTGTTTAATAGTTAAATAAACTGTTTAAGAAGTAAAATTCTTCTGATAATTAAACCGGTATGTAGGACAAAAGCTGAGTGTGGCCACTTCTTGGCTGAGCCATTTGGTGTGTTCCCACATTTCAGATCCCAATTCTGGTGTGAATGAGCTCCTGGTTGCAGAGCACTATGGAGAGTCCATGTCAGCCAGCACTGTGAGCACTCACCTCATAACTGTGTTTTATATCCACTTGTCTCCTATTCACAAGAGACACTGACAAGATGTTAAGGACTGCAGGGAAGATACAGTGTTGTGGAGGCAGGTACACGGCCTGGCAGAATTTTCCAGCTACTTATTTCTGCCTTTGCAGTGTTACTGTGTAGATCCCAAACTAGAAGATGATTTCTGCAGGCCCTGTGTGCTACCTCGGTTTTGCATTTTGCTCTGTTTGTGGAACTCTGGAAATTACAAGGGTACCCAAATATTTGAATTGCATTTCATCAAACATGCCTGCTTTTAGCTGTCAAGAACATCTGGCTCTTTCTTTTAGCATGTGGGGTATCACTAAGTTATGCACTTGGTTCTAGGTAAAAAAGTGTTTTGTCTTCCTTCTTCCTATAAATAATGCAACACAGGAGTGAGAGTCAAGGGAGTCAGAAAGTAAAAACCCTACTGATAAAAGCTCCTTTCCCTGCAGCAGCCTTAGAGAGGTTATTGGGAAAAGTCCTCTTGCTGCACTCAGAACACGTTAGAAAAATCTTCCAACAACATACTACAGCGTAACCATAAAGGGAAGATGACATCATGCATCTGAAAAATAGCCAGAATAGGAGGGTGAATTGCATCCTTTCTGTGTTGAGTACAGTATCTTCAAAAGCACAGTAGTAAGTTTGTGTAGCTATGTGAGGCAGAGAAGAAACCAAGTGTGTAATTCAGCCTCAATGCTGTGAAGGTTAATATTGTGAGCAGCCCGTAGCAGAATGGCTATAGATTGAAGTAGTAAAACAATACAAAGGGGTTTTGAGGAGGGGAAAAAATTCCTAATAAAAAAAAAAGTGCATGTAGATAAAGATCAAAAGCAAGGCTAAAGATGGAGATCTTGGCTGATTAAAAAGTTGCAGTGTTAGTGAAGGGTGTTGAAGTGGGTAAAATGAAAAGCAGTTTGTCACCAAGGAGTCTCTGTAAAAGCAGGATATGGATTTGATCAGCCTCAGAATAGTTCACATGTGAAGCTGGGAAAAACAAGTAGGCAAGAAGAAATTGAGATAGGCAATTTTAGGAGCTCTTGAGAAAGGGTAGTGTAAAGGGTGTTACTGTCTAGAAAATTGCTGTTGGCTGCTTTGTGGCAGTGTCTTCTAAGCTCATTAGCAAGTTAGTAATGATTTTACTGGCATGGTTACTTTGCTGAATCTTTTTTCACACTTAGCATGTTTGTTTGTTCATACTTTTTTTGGAAGAGATTGTTCAGGAATGTTAACTCTTTAAAAAAAAGGTATATTGACCGTTGAGTACTTTCTGCCATGCAGGCATATTTCAGAAATGGCCACCAGTGATTCCATCTGGATTTCTCTGCTTTTTGAGCAGAGGCCTCCATGCATCATAGACCCTGCTGTTTATAGAAGTGTCTGTACATATGGCATGGAATCTCAGCCAGAGTTGGAAACTGCTTGTGTGTCATGCAGGCACAGTGGGAGCCTTAGGAATTGAACTTGGTTTATGGAAGTTGTCCATGGGTTTTGGAGATGCCCTACCTTTCTGTAGCCAGAAAAGATTGCTCAGCACTGAGGCTGGGAGACAGCCAGGTGAGGCACTGGTAACAACAACTTCTCTTATATTAACACAGTTGGGAAAAAAGCTGCCTTTGCTTCCTTTTTTGAACAGTAACCTGTAAGATACCTGAGGTTTTCTTGTGCCCTTTTGACAGCCAGGAAACACTAGTTGCCCTTGTTACTAAAAACTATTGCATGAAATATACCATGTCGTGGTCATGTTAAAATACTGAGCAATTCAGGTGAAAGACAGTCTAATCATTACATAGAGAAGGGTCCTGTGACTGAGAAGGAAAAGGAATAGTCTTCTAAGATCACTATTTCTCAAATAGACTTTGCTACATGAGTGATTGTGTGATGCTTTTCATCCTGGCTTTCCCAGAGGGTCAAGCTCTTTCTGATCCTGATCTTATTTTGACCCCTGGTACGTAGACCCTTCTCTCCAAGCAAAGCTCAGAAGGGATCTATATAAAAAAAAATGTTGCTCACAGCAAGCAAGCCTGAATCCTCTCTGTCTCTTCTTGTGCTTGCAAAAGCAATAATGAGTTGTTTTCATCATCTCTGAGGGTGTAGGGATGGTCTGAAAACCCATGTACAAACTCCCTGAAGGTTGAGATCTGGAGTGTCCCTATTGCCAAGTACTTCAGAGTGAGATAAGTCATCTTTTTGTGTCAAAAGTTAAGACTGCAGACTTAGAAATGGTGCCTTCAGGGAAGTCGTGTTATTGCATACAGGAGCCAAGTGCTTTGTTCTGAGTCCTCCAATCAGCTTGTACTCACATATCACTAAAAGCAGTGTGGTGAGTCTGGTGAAATGAGTGGTCGACACTTGTTACATGGAATGTCATTGGTATCACTAGGGTCGTCTCAGCAGTCTCAGTAGAGCTGCCAGAAATGTGGAAAGGCAGGGCTGACTGACAGATTCTCTCCTCGAGGTGATCTGTGTGGACAGAGGTCAAGGAGAAATGGCAGCAGCATCTGAAGGGTTCTGTTGTGGCACCAACTTTTTCTGCGATCTGCAGGCTTTAATCTCTCAAGCAGTTTTAATTAGCAGTTCATCTGCTGCAGTAATTAGAAAGGTGCAGTTCTATGCAGTACAACTTGATGCCATGCACAGCCTGTGTCGTGGTCCTAATGGCTTATTCTCTCCTGAATTCAGTGGAGTCTTCTGAAGCACTTCAGTGCTTCACGCTGGAGTGATTGAGAGCAGGCTTAGGACAAGGCAAGCTGGAAAGCAGCTTGTGAAGGATTTCCCTTCCGTGGGGGGATTTCCAGGCTGGAATCTAGACAGGTCTGAATCTAGACATGGGCTACTATAGTAGTTGGGGAATGGTCTTTTTTAGGGCATTCCCTGTTGGCAGGCAATTATAAAGTCGACCAAACTGGTCCTATTCTTGAGTTGGCACTCTGTGTTATGCTCCTGTCCTAGGCACAGCTGGCCTGTTCTCAAATCCTGCAAGAACCAGCAAGACACTGTTGTGTGCAGCCTTTGCACATACATGGGATTCTTCTTGCAGATCACAAAGCATTTCTGAAGTTCAAGCGTTAACTTTGCAGGTGAAGTTCAGAAATAGGGTGATTCCTGAAGATTTAAAAGCTAAGCAGGGACAGAGCAGAGAACTTAAATAACAGACTTGTTAGCTGCTTTGTTATTTTTCCAAGTAGGTGTTTGTAAAAAAAGCCAACAATAAAGTAATTTTTAGAGATGGCTGATTTGAGATGTAAACATCTAAACTGGCACATTTAGTGTTCTGCCTGCCATTGACCAACTCTTTGATGTGTTTGTTTCCAGGAACACCTGTCTGGTTCTTTGTGAAAATTGCTCCAATTCGAAATGAGCAGGATAAAGTGGTTTTATTTCTTTGCACTTTCAATGACATAACGGCTTTCAAGCAGCCCATTGAGGATGATTCATGTAAAGGTTGGTCTTTTTCACAATTATATATTTATGCTGCTTTTGTTTATTTGCCCTGGTCTTGAAAGAGCTGAAGTCCTGTAAATACCTAGCCAAAGAATTAAATGTTATAATAGCTTGTAGCTGTGCCACTGGGGATGGCATTTGTTCAAGAAATGGTTGCTGGTTTCTTTAGTGAAATTGCTCTGGCCTGCTCTGGAAAGGGTCATTGCTAATGAAAGCCCAGTTTACATGGTAAATAGGTCCTGTTCTTCCTTTAAAATACACTCTTAACCTCTCCAGCATAGCCTTCAAGGATTCACAATGTTGCTCAACAGCCCTGTACAAATTGTGTGTGAAACTGTATGCAAAAACTGAGGAATTAACCCTGGCTGAGTCTAGCAAAGACCAGAATAATTAAATTCTGCCTGACTTGATGTTACTTATCATTATTATGGGATTTCTTACGTTAAAGTTCTGGACTAGTTTCCTTTAGCCTGTGTGAAGAGATTCCAGTTATCTTAAGTGGAATCAAGTTTTAGCTGTCCTGGTGAGTGAAGTAGCACTGCAGTGTTCTGCTCTTAACCCTTTGCTGAGCTACAGCCTGAAAACTTGGAAGCAAACTCAGCTGTGACAGCAGCATAAACGTGCCCTCAGGTTCAGATCCCGTCAGAAATAGACCTTTTGTACTCTATGGAGAATTGCAGACTTGCATTCTCCGGGGTAAAAAAGGATGTAAGTTCTCCTGTTGTTTGCATTTTTGTAGCATTTAATAATATTTGTAGTATTAAATTAAACAGGAAACTTGCTGTGAAGATGAACTGATTTACGTTTGTTCTCAAAATGTTATTCTTTAAAAACATAGTTTCTCAAAGTGGAAACACCTGTTACCATGAAAAAGGAACTACAACCTTGACAAACATACCCTCTTCCAGGCTATGTGGGTAATTTTTTTCTCTTGTTAATGCAATTTGGTTCCTTATTGCTTTAATAAAACTAAAAAAACCTCACCTTGTCAGATAGTTTGAGTCTACAGTATTTTTTCCCTGCCTAGTGGTCCTCACTGTATCCTGATGAGGAGTGACAGCACAGATAAATCAGCATGATGCAGTAAAGATGGCTCTCATTTATTTGCTGGTAGTGAAGGCCCTTGCTTCATTTAGTCAGTTGATAAGCAGGACTTTCAGCCAGGAGTGGTAGCTATGTCCTTTTGCTTTCACAGGAACACCTTAATGTGGTACAGATAGGCAGTTTGTCCTTCACTTTCAATACGAAGAAACACTAATTTTTTTTTTTTTCCCAATACAAACATGTTGAAGAAAGGGAATGCTAATTATCTTTTAAAATCTTTGGATCTTGAAATGAAGCTGCTCTTGCAGTGAGCATGGTAATTCTCAGCAGTTACACATCTACACCAGTATAGGCACTAAACCTACACATAAGTGCATGGACTTGCAGAGGAGTTGATGATAAGCAGAATTTCTCCCTCTGGCCCATGGAAACTGGCAAAGTGACTAACAGAGGTTACAAACAGAACTGATGTATTATTTAGAGGCCACTGATTCACAGCTCTGCACTCCTTCCCTGAGTTCCTTGTCTTTATGTACAGAAGGGCTTGTGAAGTAAATGTCTTGCAAATATTATTTCTGGATCTGCTAAAATTAATAAAGCTGCAGAAGTTTCATGCTGGTAAAAGAATTCTCTTTCACTTCATACACGAATCAAGCATAATATAAATGGAACTGCACTTTCTGTTTTCATCCTTCATTTATCCCTTTTTCTTCCATAATTGACTTGCTGTAAGCTAGCTTTGGAATGTTGTTGTGGGATATTGGATCACATAACAAAATTTGACGCCAACACTTGGTGGCTAAATGAGCAATTTCTTGGACGAGCTGATTTGTCAAACAGAATTTTACATGTTTGTCCATGTCTTTAATGTTAGATCTCATTGTGCAATTGTCTACTGTGAGAGGAAGAAGAAAAGGCAGGTATGGGGTGTTAGATAATCATCTGTAGTAGGCTCTAGGATACACGGAGTGGAAAAATGTTTTTGTAAGATCTAAAAAAGGTAAAGTTGTACTAGCTTGTTCTAAGAATCATTAACACACATGAGCTCTGAAGAGGGCATATTCTTTGTGCTGTGTACAGTGTTATATAGGAACTTGGTAGCATGCTTTTGGAAAAGGGCAGTTTTCTTGGGAATGTTTCTCATATTCTCAACCCAAATGAACTCTCAATCTGAAAAACTAAAACTGTGAACTGAAAACTGATTGCTAAATCAGTTCTTTTTCCTTTTTTCACCTTCAGTCAGCTTAGCAGGTACTTTTCTTTTACTGTGTTTGTATGAGTAATCAGTTTCCTATGCTTATGAGTACTTAATATGTAATAGGCTGCCTGTAGATGCTGATATGTTAATAAAATGTGCCATTTGCAGAATATTATAGTTTAAAGTATTTAAGATTTTCAAAATCAATGCCTGTACGTCTGTGTAGAGAAAAACATTAAATCGATCATGTTCTTGCACTACATAAAGAGCAACTAATCTGTCAGGCTAAGCCTGCTTAGCTGTGGTATGTCTTGGTTTTCTATCACCTGCTGGCAATTTCAAGCCTGATTGTTCAGCTGCAAATGATGCAGCTCCTTGAGTGAAAAGTGTAGAGCTGTAATGGCAGGTGTTTGACTACACAAAGGTGAATAGGCATTTTTCATCTGAAGGTGACTCAGAGGGATAGAAGGTCCCATTACCATTTTTAATGCCTATTTTTTTTATTGATTAATTATATCAGACGCTGGAATAGGTGAAACAAGAAAGTCACATTAAAAGCAGACATCTCATTGTAGCCTTTGTTAATTGATTCAGATAATTTAGAAGATGTTTATTTTATGACTTCCATGGAAAGTAAGTAAGCTTGCTTTTAAATGCAGCAGCTTTAAAAATAGTGCATTCTAAATAAAACTGCTTAAAAATAGTGTGTCAGTGATGTTGATAATATTTTAAAACAACCTCTTTCCACTTTTTCCTGTTTGCTTGCCCCTTGAAAAAAATCAGGGAAACGAGGTTTACTTGAATAGAAGGCAAAATCGAGCTATAGCATAGCTAAATTTGGCTTGTCAAGTAGTACGTCACCTTCTTAGCTGAATCTTAAAGTATATACTATATTTGGAATTAATGCATTTTGTCAGTATATGTCTCTCCTGGTTTGAGATCTAACACACCAAGTATGAGGTGCTTGAGAATGGTGTATAAAGTGGAATGCATCACTTTGTGCAAAACAATTATTTGAGTAGACTAATGAAAACTGTGCTTGCACTCTGAGCACCTTGTAAGAAGTTTGCCTGGCTTTGAATGTATGAATACAAGGTGAACATATCAAGATGCATCTATGCTGTCTCGTAAGAGTTTGAAAGCTAAGCTTTGGATCCTAATTTTTGCCTTTGATATTTCATTTTTATACAAAGAGATGGTCAAATTCAACATCACTGAATCAAGCAGTGAATGGTTGTTATCCTCCAAGATGATGTAGCCTTCTGTGCTTTGTAGCAATCATCAGTTGCCATCTCCTCTGCAGAAGGTGCTTTATTTAATTTTGCAGCTAAGCTGTCCTTTGCATAACAAGCAGGAGTACAGACACAAAAAATATTTTGTTTGTCTCCTTCATCTTAATTCAGGGAAAAATTCACGTTTCCTTCCCCCCCCTCCCCTTTTTGTTTCTGGGGTAGGTTTTTTTTAGGATTTTTGGTTCTGTTTTTAAAGATGTATTTATATGAACAGAGCCAGTGTTTGAAATATTTTGATTAAGATATATTCTGCTTTCACCTGGATGAAATGTTTTCTTAAAAAGAGGAAACAAATGAAAGGGAAGTAGTGCGTATATTAAAAAAACTTTGGTATGCTTTCCCAGTCCAGATGGAAAAATAATACTGTTTTAGTCATGAAGTTTCAAAGAGAAGGAGCACTGCAGAGAAGCTGGATGGATGTAAGCAAGGATCTTTCATGTGTGGGAATACAAAGGTGGTTCGAGTGGAGGCAAGAACTACTGGAATCTTGATTTATTCACATTTACACAGTTGTGTGAACAGCAGACCTGTGGACAAACAAGCTTGTTCTCTAGCAGACAACAGCTTCTTGTTCTCACTCTAGGAATTGTGTAAGTCACGGATCAGCAGTGTCGTAACAAGAGTTCTGTAACTGCCACAGTTCCCAATGTCTGAATTCTTGAGTTATCGGGAATGAATTGAGAAGAGTGGTAGGAAGCAAATAGCTACCTACAGATAAATAATAAATGCTGTTGTGCTTGAGTATCGACTTACTTAAAAATACAGAAAATTGGCTTCTTCAACTTAAGGCCATTGTTAAATGAAACTTCATGCTTTAAAGAAGAAAAGTTTTGATGAGTTAAATGCCACAGCACAAAAGTATATTTCGATGCCATATTTCCACATGAAACAAATCTCAGGGGACTGCTTTTATAATCATCTTGTCTTGGGTGTTATCAGAAGCAATTTCTATTCACCTTTTTGCGAAGAAATGGTGGAAAATTGAAAGAGCATCGTGGAATGCAGGAGTGCTGAAGTCAGTGCCGTTAATCTTGAAGGCTTTCCATCCTTTTGAAGCTGGAAATGTCGCGTTGTTTTGTCTGTGCATGATATTTTCTGCAGAACTGAGAAAAGAGTCCAAACAATGATAGAAATGAGTTAGAATCCAAGACAGGGGCACAGGCAAGCACTGCCATGGGATGGTATCCAGCTTTATGTTTGGTTCCTGAATTTCAAGCTCTCTTCTCTTCTGTGTGAGCTTATCTTTTTTGAGGAATATATATGTCTATATTAGAACCCCCTAGGATCATTATATTTTAAATTTAATTTATATTTTCTCTGTTTCTAGAGGAAAACAATGGATGTAGGGCTATACCAACTGCTTGTGTTGAAAGAGAACTCCTAATCCCTATCATGTGGTCCCTCTGTTTTAGCTGGACTGACACCAATATATTCTTACACCATTTTGAACATCACACATACACATCTCCTTGTCTTGGGAAGCTCCATGACCCTTAAAATTTAGTGTTTGTGTTCAGTCCTATGGCTTTAGTCCGTTATTTGGCCTTTGTTGGATGGATAACTGACCTGCTATTAACTGTGTCTCTCCTTAGGGCTCTGGAGGAAAAATTGTGATAAATGCAACTGTTGTCTTTTCAGGCATTACTGGAGATATTATCACTCAAAATGTTTAGTACTGGTATTCTGTTTAATTTTTGTTTTCTTCTTCCTATGCCACAATCTGCAGGTCTAACTGTATGTTGGAGTTGCCACATTTTTTTATCTTTTTCTTTTGCAAAAACCAAAAAGGCAGTACAAGGAGAAGTGTTCTGTTCTAAAGATGAAATTCTTACACGTTGCACATTGATTCAGTGCCTAGTTTTAGGCACACCATGGCACAGTGGTGAGTGTATCTCCAAGCTGGGCTCCCTATGTGTGGAGAGAATTAAGCTGTGTACTTCCTATTTGTATCCACACTGCTTTAAAAAGCCAAGCTGAAAAGCCCTGCCTCGTTATACAATCCCTTGCCTGGAACAGTTATATTGCTTTCAGATCAGAGTTTGGAGTAGAGGGTGAGATCTAATGTTTGTGGAAACAGTTCTTTTGTGTGCCTTTAGGCACCTACAAGTGAGATGTTCAACACGTAGGGCAGAGGAGATGCTTGCAGGGGATACTGAGGAGAGAGGAATGGGTTAAGTTGTACTTCTCAAAAGAAGATGACTCCTGGGAAGAAGAGGGTGCACCCGAAGGTGCTCAGCATTCATAGCCACAACTCGTGCTCCAGAGTTATCTGGCAGTGCTTTTGTGCAAGAAAGCTCAAGTGAGGTGCTTCTTTTTCATCCTCTCTCTGTGTATGTCCGAATAGCCCAAATCTTAGAACAATGTTAGGAAGAAAATGCACACTGAAAGTTTGTCCTCAGGTTTTGAACCAAATTTCGCATCTTCCAGGAGAATGCCCTGCTCATCAATCCAGTTTGAGTTAGTAAAAGGAGCTATCTATGTTATCTGTCACTAGAAGCATTTTGCCTGTGGTAAGGGAGGCAGGTTTCGAATTCCCGGGTGAAGCTGGAGCTCCGTGGAGCGTTGCGGGGCCGAGGTTGGCGAGCAAGCCCCGCTGGCTGCGCTTCAGCACCACGGCCAGCGCCGCAGCGCCCGCCCCGCCGCCGCTGCCGGGCGGGAGAGCGAGCGGGCGAGCGCCTGTGCCCCTCGGAGCACATCCCGCTCCGGCCTCCTGGCGCCGGACACTGCCGAGCCCTGCGCCTGGGCCGGCTGGGAGGCTGGACGGGACTGGGGGAGATGCGCTTGAAGCTCATAAAGCCAGCTGTAACTTGGGATGTATCAAAAGCAGCGTGGCCAGCAGGTCAAGGGAGATGATTCTTCTGCTCTGCTCCCATCTTATATGACCACGCCTGGAGGGCTCTGCTCAGCTCTGAGCCCCCAGCTTAAGAAGGACCTGTTGTGCGAGTTCAGAGGAGGGTCGCAAAGATGCTCCGAGGGTTGGACCACCTCTGCTGTGCAGACAGGCTGGGAGAGCTGTGAATGCTCAGCCTGGAGAGCAGAAGACTCCAAGGACATCTTATAGCACCTTCCAGTACCTAAAAAGGTCTACAAAAAAGCTATGTAGGCAACGTTTTCCAGATTCTCGATATAAACTGCATCTTCAAAGCACTAGGTGTCCTTAGTTGGAGTAGGAGATGAGGAATAGGAGCTCAAGAGCTCCCAGGTGGTGCTAGCATTTTTCAAGATTGGGAATAAAAGCACTGATACTTTCAGTATACCAAAAATATCCAGATGTATACTTTGCCTTTCTGTTATGGCAAAGTAGTGCTCATAAGGATTATAGTTGTAGCTAGCTCTTTTGACTGTCATTGAAGGTCTTCTATTTTGAGAGAATTTGAAATCACTGTAAAAAATACTCTGAATTAAAATTCAGCATATGACTTCTCTGCCAAAAGCCGCTAAATGTTTAATTTGAGTTTGAGAAAATCTATTAGTATATTTCCCGTTTTGTTTAGAGAGAGTAAAATTAATGATTTTGTTTTGCTTTTCTGCTCTGCTTTTTATTACCTTATGTATATTTCTCCACTTATTCCAGATCTATGCTTGATGCATCTGAGGCCAGATTCACTTTACAGACAACTGTAATTTTCATTGTGCATGACTCTGGCCTTACATCTTGATTAGTCTGGAGTGTCTTCTGCAGTGCAGTGAGATTCAAATCTGATCATTAGATTTAATATGAGATTATTGTATAGTGGACATTTATCCTTGCAAAATATGCAGTTCGTGTAGCAGTATTTTTGTAGAGTCATTGAATACAAAGTCACAGAAGTCATGGGCTTTATTACTGTACCACGCTGACACCTATTTTCTGACTTGCTTTCCTCTGGTACTTGGTTAAATTATATTCCCTTCTGGTCAGTATTAAAGCAGATTGCTCTGTTTTAATATCTTTTCTTCCCTTTAGTTGTAAGAGGTTTTATGAGGTACACTTGCAGCTTTTTTTTGGTAATGTGTCCAATCTTGCATGTTTTCTCAAGGTTGGGGGAAGTTTGCCCGCTTGACCCGTGCCCTCACGAGCAGCAGAGGAGTGCTGCAGCAGCTTGCTCCCAGCGTGCAGAAAGGAGAGAACGTTCACAAGCATTCAAGACTTGCTGAGGTAATTTTTTCTTTCCCCAGGAAGCTGTAAAGAAATTTTTTAGCCTTTGTGGGTATGTCCTCTCTGCGTGAGCCAAGAACTGTCAGTCCTCCCTGCCCTGGGAATCTGGTACATGTGCTGTGAAATGTGTCCTGTGACAGCAGAATGAAAACAGGTGTCCCAAAGACTTCGTGTAACCTAATTGCAGTGTTGTGTTCTTAGCAAAGTCTTAGGTGTTATTAAAATAATACTTTCTTGCTTAGTTTCCATTCTTCTGAGGATCTTAATAAGAATAGGATCTTGGACTATCTACTTATGTAAAACTGAGGTGAGAAAAACTCAGTCTAGTACACAAGGAAATCCTGGAGAATCCATGATATGGTTATTCTCTGAAATAATTTATGTCTACTTACCTCTCAGTGGGATGCCAACCCTGCATTACCAACTGGTTAAAAACTATGTTTAAGTTACTGCTTTTATGGACAGAACAGTTGTAAGATGCCACAAGCAACACTGCAGACATATTAGGAAAATGAGACCTTGTGGTTTAAGTAGCCTTTCAGAGCTTTGAGATAAGCTCCGAGCATAGAAGGCCCCTTGAAGCACTTGGGGTTTGAGCCTTTCACCATGGGGGGGTGAGACTGTCCCAAGTTTCCTGTTGCTGTCTCCTGGGCCAGTGGCAGGGTCTCCCTCGTGTAAAAACAGCTTGGGGAGAGGTTTGATGTGGTTTTAATGACAGCACAGCCAATATAACATGGCAGTCCTGTGTTACCTCCTGCTGTGAATGCCATGGCAGCAGCTATGACTTGACAGTAATTCTTGATCTTCCTGTGCAGCTGGAGGTGTAAGGTGTTGATGGGTGCCATGAGGTCTCCATATAGTCAGTTATACCACACTCTGCTAGTTCTGCTGTATATGTCTTAGTTTATATGCAAACTAAAAATCTCCTGTCTTGTTATCACATATAATAGCAAAATTCCTGCAGAGACGATCTTACCTACTCAGTATTTCATACAGAAGAACTCAAGAAGGGAAAACCAATTTCTGTTGGAAGCAGAGAAGTAACATGGATCATACTAGCACAGAGGAGGGACAGACATTCACGTGGAAGCCATACTGCAGGAAGACCATGTGATTAGCACATGTCCATCCTGAGGTTGCTTCAGTGTCCTGGAATTTGAAATAGTTTTCCTCCTAATCCTACTCAAGGCTTCATATCAAATAATCCTTTCTTCTCTTTAGATCTCTACCCTTGAATTTTAGTCAATGCTAAAATGGAGGTAGCAAAACTTAAGCCAAAGGGTCTGAGGTTATTCTGTTTAGCAACAGTCTGGATGTTACTGAAAATTTTTGCAAGTCCATGTGCTCAACAAGCCTTTGCAAGTAATCTTACTGGCACAGCCAATTGATTAATTACAAATAATAAAGGGCAAGTGTATACTGTACATGTCTGAAATTAGTTTCTTTAATTGCTGACTGAATATTGCGGTCATAATTTTACAAAGAACATTAGCCCCAGCTGTGATGTTAGGTAGCTTTTTTTTCTGCAGTAATTCCATTTAAGTCAATAGAATTACACCAGAGGAAAGAAGAGTGCAGATAATCATACAGACAAGACCACTTTTCTTTATTTGAAGATAGATGGGGTGCCAGGCTTCTTATTCTGCAAAGGTTTCTTGATAATATTGAATATGGGATCTCTAACAGTTCCCTGTTGTATTTTCAAATATTTTTTTTTCTTCATCCCTGCAGTAGCCTATCTGAAATTTTAAAATTCATCCTTTTTCTTTTGCTACTCACCTCACTATGACATTTCACATCAATCTTGTTTGTGTGAGAAGGCTCCACGTTTATTGCAGTGTTATTTGTGTTGCTCTTAGTTATTTATCACTTATATGTTTGAATGTCTTGGGAGGCTGTTGCATCCTAGAACCTGAGTAGAGCAAGGTGTTGGAGCCTGACACAACAGCTTACAATTTTTTATTGTTTGTGGAACAGTTTAAGAAAGGTGTTAGTGACAGACTAACGGGCCATGGATAACACAAGCAGTGTCTGTGAAGCTTCAGTCTCTGACTTTTGCCAGTAGGCACAGATTTTTTTTTTAGCCTGACTTCTCTAATAGCAGTCATATGAAAACTACTCAAATTAATTATGCAATTAACACAAGGGTGTTAGGTAAGTGAGACAACATTTTGCAATAGGAGTTTGTAAAGCAACTGATGCATTTCTTTTGCTTAATTGCCAAGGAGCTGATGGTAGGGATGGCTCTTCCTGGTCACTGCTGAATGAATATGTGTGTCATCTGCACCTATGGTCTTAGCTTATGTGTTCTGCTCCTTTGCCAGGCAGTTCTGGGCAAACAAAACTGTGTCAAAATTAAAAAAAAATATGATAGTTATGAGAAATAAAAGCAGAGAAATTATAATGGTGCTTAGCAGCACTGCTTAAGAATGGAACCTCTGCCATTTTTTTTTTTAACACTGTTTACCAGGAACTTTTAACTGCCATTAAACTGCCAATCAAAATATTGAGGCTTAGCTCCTAGCCCGTAGCTTGGGAGCAATTTATGTGGGTGCTTGGGAAAACAAAAGTAAGGGAGAGTGAGAGAAAGCAAATAGGTGCAATTGAAAACATGAAAAGGAGAGATTAAGCTGGAAATGAGTGAGTGTTTATGTGTTAGCTTTTTTTTGCCCCCCAGTCATACAGTCTTAAAAATAAATAAATCATTGTAACCACTTCTGATGCAATTTATGTCTCCTGACTTGGGATATATTTGCCATTTTGTAAAAAAAAATAGGATAAAAAAAAAAGCAACTTGCTGTGTTTAAAAAAGAACACAATCTTGTAAAACCCATGATGAAATTTGGCATTTCTGCTCTTGGAATAAACTCTCCAGCATTAGGGAGCTGTTAAAGCATCATGCATCATTACCACAAATAATAAATGCAGATAATACAGCTGTATTATCTGATGAATAATAAGTAACTGAAATAATACTTTCATTAATAATTTTCTGAAATAAATATTTCTTTTACTATGATAAAACTGCATAATAGTGAAAAATCTTCCAAAACCAGAGTTGTTTCAATTATTCAGAAAATTGTCCAGTGCACATGAATGGAAGCTCAGCATATTGGTTTATTTAGTTCTGTACTCACAGTCTCTTGGGGTTTGTTTTTTTTCCTCTCCCGGAGAAGTCTCTTTACAAGCAGTTTGAATGTGGTTAGTTCATGTGGGTGTGTAACCACACCTGACTGCTTCACCAAACCTGTCTCAGGTTGGCACTACTCTCCCTAGAGGCTGGAGTGCAGCAGGAGCACCTTGGAATAGGGCAGAGGGTACTTTGCATGGACCTGGGATTGCTGGATGGTGCAGAGAGATTGGGTTTATAGCTCTCAATCTCCAGATGATCCAGGGGTGATGTGTGTGTTGGGGCAAGGGTGGTGAAGAAATAGACTCCGTGTGGCCTTTGGCATGAAAATTGGAGAAAGGAGCTCTTATAACTTCCAGTGCAGTGACCTGACAAAATTTTGATCTTCAGCACTAAGATTTGTGGACCTCCTTCCATGGTTTCTGTGCAGTACTGAGCTCTTTTGTTGTGCTTTACAATAAAGGCACACGCTTGTTCTCTGAGATTATAAAGCTTTGTTGTAGGTGTGTTTCTCTTCCTTCAGTGAAATGAAGATTTTGGTGCCTTTGGAAGCTCTTGGCTGGCAGTGCCAGGCAGTGTGCAAAGCCAGTTGCCTTTGCTGGGAGTGACAGTGTGAGCTGGGGCAGTGCCCTTCTTTCACCTCAGGCTGTGAAATCATTTCTGGCAGTGCCAGCAAGATGGGGTGATTTTACAAAGGTGTGTGTTAGTGATGTAGTGAGAGCGAGCCCAGGCTAGAACTTGTCACCTCCAGCCCACCCAAAGGCTTGCTGCTGGTGGCTTTCCCCATCTGGTGAGTGATTGGCATCCCTGTGTCATTCCTTGATGCCTGACTCCTGGCCCTCCATTCAGGATTGGTGCCCACAGTGGTGGTGCACATCCTTCTGCTGGAAACCAACTAAAGCCCCATGTCTCTTTAAATAACCATTGGCAGGGCTTCACCAGAGACTCCGGGGGGTAACAGAAGTTCAAAAGACTTATTAATAAGGTCCCTAGCTATTCAGATAGAGTATGTTTACTTTCTAAATAGAAAGGAAAGGAGATCAATCAATCATCAATCCTTTTATTTTCTTGTGCCACAGCCCTTGAATCTCAAACAAGCAAGAAGAGGGTGCTTTGTATTTGGTGATGACATTTAAAAACACTGAAGCAGCAGTTTATTATCTTAACGAGTTGGAGCTAGAAGTCTGCTTTTTTTTCTGCTTTCTGCTGGTTTTTTTTTGCATCCTTGTAGTTCCACTGGCTTTATTTTAATGTTGTTTTCTATTTACAACAGAATAATGGACACCATAATTTAGCCCCTTCATTTTGCCAAACAGAGATTGTTCTTGCCTTTTCCCCTTTTTCGGTATGCAGGTATACATAGTATATTTCCCAGTAAATTTAGTTTTATTAGTGCAAAATTTCCACAAATTCTTGGAGTACAGAGAGCAGCAGTGACCAAAATGGAGTGCATTATACAATTCTTAGTCTAGAACTTACGTATGTATAAGTTGTATAAGTAAGAACCATCTGACAAGAGCAAACAATTTTTTTTTCAGTTTTTCATGGTTGAGGTTCCTGTACTGATTAGAGTAGTTACCAAAACATTAGACTTTTTCATGTAATACCAAGGGCTAAAAAAATAAGCTGTAGTAGGCCTGTGATTGCAGAAGAAGCAATTATGCTTTCTTGCTGCATTTGAAGGGTCATCCTGTCTCACCACACCAGTAAAGTCTGAGCATTAGGACTGAAATCCCACTAAATGAAAAATGTTACTGTGTGATGGAGGTGCTTAGTTTTACTGATCAATTGTTCCAGTGAATGTGTATTGCAGAGGACTCTCCTTGCCCAATGAAGCATATTTCAGGCTTAGGATCCTATGTTAGAGCTGCTGCTCATGCAGAGCCTCATAAAAAACAGCAGTAACTCATTGCTTTCCAAGTGATTTGGGTACAGCTGCAATGTGCAAACAGGAGGGCAGGAGGTATTTGCAATATTGATTTGGGCTAGAGCTTTTGTTGGGAAAAGACATCACAACATCTGTCACTGGGACTGCAAACAAGCCTTGAAGGGAATGATGCTCTGAGTAACACACACAGACTCAATACACAACTTCTGCCTCTTCCAGTCACACCAGTGACTTTTGGGGACTGCATGTGCTGTCCAGTGGCTTCTGCACTGCATGTGCCTTGTGCTGCTTCCAGCTCCCCTCAACACAGGACAGCTTAATTCCCTTTTTGTTTTTGGTAGTAGGGAGAACCTACATGAATCAGGGTCAGGATCAATAGACTGTGTAATACTGCAGTAACATGTTTGAGTCCTAGTTGGGTCTGCAGGTGAAATGTTCCTTTCTCCTTTTTGCTGTCATTCTAGAAACTCAGTGAAACAAAAATGCTGAGTCCTCTTATTTTATTAAATCGAATTTTTTTAAAACTCTTAGTGCCTCTGTGGTAACATGCAGGTCTGTCAGAGCAGGTCATGTTAATTCTCTTCAGGAGAACATACTGTGCTCAAAGTCAGCAGGCTTGCAATTCCCATTCTCATTTACACATGTGTGAGGAACTGTGATCTGACAGTGTCTGACCCCTGTTGTGTACATGAGTAAGTGATTATGTGAGGTTCAGAGCAGCAGGGAATCTCATCTGAGACTGTTTTGTCCAAGTAGAACTTTTGTAGCTGATTGTTTTCTTTTGTCCCCTTTGGCTGAAACTGTTGGAAAAAATCTCACCAGTTCACCAAAAAAAAGAAGAAGAGGAAAAAAAAGGCACTCAAAAAAGCCTGCAGATAAAATCCATGTCTAAATAAGTGACATTAAAAAAGCTGAGATAAGGAGCATGAAAGGAAGGCATCCTTCTATTCTAGCTGTGTTGTCTTATCTTTTCCCAGAGAAAAGCCACCATTTAATTTCCTCCTCTGCTTCCTATTGCTCTGAACTATGTGTAAATAAGTGTGGAAAAGGAACCATGCTCCTAAATACTACTCACGGGTTCTGTGAGTTTGGCATTACAAAACACGTTTCACTCAAGCAAGTCTTCATGTTCCTTTCAGTTTTCATTCATAACTCATCCAGGGTAAAATTTGCTTTAAAATTTAACTTCTCTTTATTTGGACACAGGTTCTTGAGGTTGATTTTGCCCTCATGTATATCCATACAGATAAACAAACACATTCTTATTCATAGGTATGTGAAAGAAACTTGAGTTCCCAAGAATTGCATACATGATAATACTGTTTTTGCAGCAGTGGACAGAACTGGAGAGAGAACAGACATAAAATGGGCAGCAGTGATTGAGACTGCAGTTATGTAAAACAGTGCTCAGTGTCAGCATGTGCTCAGCTTGAGGCCCAGGGTTTAAAACACATGCTGGCAGATCATCTTCTGCAGTAGTGCTTTTCTGAATTCAGACCCAACTGCAGTGTAACTCAACAGTGTGCCTCGGCAGGTCCCCTCAAATCCTGGGGTCAGTTTGGAGGCCCCTACAGTAGGAGGGACATGGAGGCATTGGGGCATGTCTGAAGAAGGGCAACAAAGGCAGTGAAGGGTTTAGAGAACAAGTTTGATGAGGGGGAGCTGGGATTGTTTAGCCTAGAGAAAAACAGGCTCAGGGGGGACCATTGGCTCTCTCCAACTGCCTGAAGGGAGGTTGTAACGAGGGAGAGATCCAGCTTTTCTTCCAGGCAAGAAATGACAGGACCAGAGGAAATGGCCTCAAGTTGCACCAGAGGAGATTGAGATTAGACATTAGGAAAAATCTCTTCCCTGAAAGGGTTGTCAAGTATTGGAACAGATTTCCCAGGGAATGGTGGCATTACTGTACCTAGAAGGGTTCAAAAGGTGTGTGGATGTAGCACTTGGGGACATGGTTTGTTGGAGACCACGGTGATACTGGGTTAATCGTTGGACTCAACAATCCTAGGAGTCTTTTCCAACTTTAATGATTCTACCTTTCTATGATTCTACATCATCAGGTGGTTAAGACATTTAACTTCTCTGAATGAAAAGGTGAAGTGTTTTCATTCATAAAAATGAGTTTATTGAGGCTAATGATAGATATCTATCGTGGCTTTGGAGCTGCACAGCCCAGAGAAGAGGAAGAAAGGCCTGTGCATTCATGATAGATTGTAGAATGAGACTCTTTCAGACATGGTATAGTGAAGAGTTAAATAGCCAGTGTTGGAAAAAGATGTGGTCCAGGGGTCTTGCTGCTGGACTGGAACTCAGCTGGATATTATTCCTGGTTTTGCCATCAGTTTTTACTCACACCAGCCTTCTGCCTATTCTTGCCCATCATTTTTCTGTCTCGTCTGTCTAGATAGCTAAAGAGGTTCTCTCTTCTCTCTTTCTCATGGGCACTTCACACGTTAGTGCCAAAAAATAATTAATGGCATTAGAAGAAACAACTGTTCTTAGTTTGATGCTGATTTGTGTAACAGAATACTTTCCTTGGCTTGTTTACCATTTGGTGGTGATAAAAGGAGTTAGTAGGCATGAATTTTTATGAACTGTTGTACTGAGCTTGAGAATCTACAGTGTGAAAAATACCATGAAAAAATTAAGCATGTTTTCTTTTTCCTCTCAAATCTCTCTGACTACAGGTATTGCAGCTGGGTTCTGAAATCCTCCCACAGTACAAACAAGAGGCACCAAAGACTCCACCACATATAATTTTGCATTATTGTGTATTCAAGACTACCTGGGACTGGATCATCTTGATTTTAACCTTCTACACTGCTATTTTGGTCCCTTACAATGTCTCCTTTAAAACCAAACAGAACAACGTGGCATGGCTGGTAGTTGACAGCATTGTAGATGTCATTTTTCTGGTCGACATTGTGCTTAATTTCCACACCACCTTTGTGGGGCCGGCAGGAGAGGTGATCTCTGACCCCAAGCTGATTCGCATGAATTACCTGAAGACCTGGTTTGTGATCGACCTGCTCTCCTGCCTGCCATATGATGTCATCAATGCATTTGAGAATGTTGATGAGGTCAGTACACCACTTCCACTTTCATTCATTAATTATTACTCAGTGGTTCGGGGGGGAGGTGTGGGACAGAGGAAAGAAATTCATGTTTTTAAATTTATTGGATTACTGTACATATGTGTCTGGTAGCCACCCACAGCATGCACAGAAGTTTGCTTATGAGTCCTAGCCAGAAGGCTCATTCTTTAATTGCTGCTGTAGTTTTTGGTGTTAAAAATCCATGTTTATTTTCATTCTTTCTGCATCCTCAGGGTTCAGGAGGACAGACAGGTAGAGGCAGACAGCAGCACCTTTGCACAGCACTGAGGAAAACTGCTCCATCTGACTTACAAGGAATAGTCTGTGCTTGCTTTCATTGATGATTGATCAGGGTAGTTCTGCTAATGCAAATTCTTCACAGGAACAACTGGGAAGTAAAATACATATTTCTCTGCTACTTCTAGTACACTATAGCAGGTGGCAAAGAGGCAGGCAGTGACTCACTGAATCGTCTTAGAGTACCAGAAAGCACTGTGTGGATACCTGTGCAGCATTGTTTGGCAGCAGTATTTTTAGAGGAAGGTGAAGCAATTGAAGGTGCTTGTTTGGTAATTTCATAATTAAATGAAAGGGCAGGGAGAAATCTGGAAATCTAGACTCTTCCTTAGTTCTTAATTTCTCTGGGAATAGATCACAATCCACCAAAAGAACTAACATTTAGACACTTAAATGCAGAAAAATAGTATTTTTTAACTGCTTGGTTTTTTTGGATCTGTCTGCCAAGAAAGTATTCCTAAGGTAAATCCATTAAAGTTCCGTGCCTAAAGAATTCAGAGAGTAAATGAATTTTTAATGAAATCTTAAAGAGGATTCCAGTCTGCTTTCTGGTTGCACATTATAAAATCATCAACTAGTTATGTGTCTGAGTTTATCTGTGACACGTGCTGAAGTTGTAAGATACAGAATCACAGGATGGCTGGACTTGGAAGGGATCTCTGGAGATCATCTAGTCCAACCCAACTGTTAAAGCAGATTCACCCAGAGCAAGTTGCACAGGATCACATCCAGGTGGGTTTGAATACCTCCAGAGAAGGAGAGGGATTTACATACCTGCCTCATCAGGGCTTAGTATTTAAATTTTAGCGTGTAAAATTTTAATTTTGTTACTTCCGTTAAAATATACCCATGTTACAGAGGACAGCCTAGCTATCAAAATAAAACCATGGCAAGTGAAATATAGGCAAAACCAAACCCCCTTATTTTTTTTAATTCCACTATTTCTTATAAAATTTAAATGGTTTTCTCAATGACATGAGGACAGGTAGGCAAACCATTAAATGCAGTGGAAAAATCTGATACTATTTGATGTTTAATTCCCTAGAGAAGTTTTCATTTTATATCAAGCTACAGACTGAAATAACACAAATTAGATCAAACAAAAAAGCCTTGTGAGACCTGTCCTTAAGTATTTGTTTGTCATATGAAAGACCCAGACTGCAGATTATTCTTCAGGGCTTTCACATATTATTTTGCTGTGACACTGATAGAGTGATGGAAGGAATGGCCATATGTCAGTTTCTGACATTTAGATAGAAACAGTAAAAATAATGAATAAAATTTAAAAATAAACAAAGCAAGAGAGGAAAAAACCCAGCAAAAACCAACAAACCAAGAAGGAAGCTTTTCTCACCCACAGCAGATAGAAGCAACCTGGTGAAGATTTCGCTGAAGGAACAATTTTTGACTTTAGACTGGTGATGTGACCTACAGAACATCCCTGTGGAAAATGTCTGTAGCAGTGGCTGTGACAGCCATCGAACTGAGCACAGATGATTTTGGACTCATGGTAGCAATTCTGCAGAGAAATTCTTGTGTGAGTTTGTATTTCTGCAGGTTTTCCATCTCAGTGTTGCCTTGTAGCAATGAGAACCTGATTGGTACTTCAGTTTTCCCTGGCTCTTCAGAAGTCTCCTTAATCAGTATAACACTGTTGGTTTTAGTTATTCTACTATTGTGCCCAAGGGAAAAAAAAAATCAAGATTTTTCTTGATGCCGTCCTTTCAAGACTGTTCACATCTGCATTTCCCATAGTGGCTTCTGCCTTTTGGCTGAGATAAATCATTGTAGAATCATTAGAGCAGAGTTTCCACTGGTGTAAATTGCCATGCTTCTACTGAGGACTCATAAGCTGGTTTATGGGACCTGAGGGGTTTTGCCAGCAATGCCAGCAGAATAACAGAGTGCATATCAGGAGAAGGTTTGGTATATGGTGATCACTGTTTCAAGAACTTCCTGTAGAGAGAAAGATAATCTTTTATTAAAGAAGAAAAAAATAAAAGCCACATTCAAGGAATCTTGAAAGCAGAAAATCTTTGTCTTTTATCTTTTTTTTCATTCCCTTGTGGGTCAACTGCCTTCCTTTCTTGCTGATTTAAATTTACCTCTCTCTTGCCCTGGATTATACACCACATAACTTTGCAGCTGGATTAAGTCAGGTGCAAGGCTGCCCTGCTCAACATGCAAATAACCAAACTGAG